ATTTATTGGATAAAAAATATTTTTAATTATCAGAAGAATAATAATTACTAAATATTATTAAATTAATTAATCACTATTTAAATGGTTAAAAAATTTCACTTATTAATAATAATTAATTTCACTTAAAAAAGTTAAATAAAAGATATATTAATATATATATATATATATATTAATAATTAGTTTTATTAAAAAAATTAATTAATCACTATTTAAATGGTTAAAAAATTAGTTGTATTAAAAAAATATTTTGAATATATAACATAATAATTTATAATAATATTATTTTTTTTTTAAAAAAAACATGGTGTCCGGCCGGTCGGACCGGTCACGACCGGCCGTCGGGGCCGGACGCCAATAATTTATTTTTTTTTTACTTTTTCGAAAAAAATGCCAGGGGAAAATATGTCCAAGGGGAGAGGGGCGGTAAATAGTAATAGGAAAGCGGTTAATAGTAATGCCCTTTAATAATCCATTGAATGACAATCATGGGGCCCACTGTTTTTTATTCAAATTTTGAATGAACATCATTGGTATTAATGGCCCCGCATTTTATTTAAATGAGCATAAAATGTACCAATGTGGATGCCCTTAGAGCATCTTCAGTCACAAGGTTTATTAAACCTACATTTTTACATTTTCGATAAATACTCCACATCATCTAAATGTTATTCTTACTCCTAATATCACAAACCTCCACCAACCATAAACCTCACAAACCTTCTTTTAGTAGGTCCCGCATATTTTCCTTACTTTAATTTATATATCAATTTAATTCATATTTACTAAAAACATTACTCATAATTTTTTACAATGGCATATTTATTTATCATAATAAATATATTTTACATAAAATTAAAATTTTAAAAAATTAATAATAAGTGAAATTTATTACACAAACATTACAATAATATAAAATATAAAAAATTACATGCAGATAAAAATTAAAAAAAATTATAAGAAAATTTCATTACACATAAACTTTATAATAATATAAAATATAGAAAATTAAATGTCGATAAAAATTAAAATTTTCATACATAATCGATATATTACTCTTAATAATTAGGTTCATTCCATATATGTTCAACTAGGTCATGTCTAAGTTGATGATGGACCTGTCTATCTTGCATTTCAGCTCGTATTTGCAAGTACCGACAAAAAAATGTTGGATGACCTTGATGTGTTTGGATAGGCAGTTCACCATCTTTATTGGACCAATTGGTTGCCTTCTCACCCTCGTCCTCAATTATCATATTATGTAAAATAATACACGATAACATTATTTCAATGAGATCTTCTTTGTACCAAAAACGACCTGGACCACGTACAATTTCCCATATTGACTGGAACACTCCGAAAGCACGTTCAACATCTTTTCTTGCAATCTCTTGCCGTTGCTTAAACTTTTTCCTCTCTGGTTCCTCTGAACACTGAAATCTTTTCACAAATGTTGCTCATTCCGGATAGATATCGTCTGTTACGTAGTAACCTTTTCTATAATGGAGTCTATTTACTGTAAAATGTACCTCCGGTGCCACCCCATGTAAAATATTATTGAATAGTGGAGACTCATGTAACACATTAATATCATTTCATGATCCAGCGAGTCCAAAAAAGGCATGCCAGATCCACAAGTCTTGTGAGGCTACTGCTTCAGGCATTATTGTGGGTACCCCATGATCTTCTCGAGTGTATGAGCCCTGCCACTCCACCGGACAATTTTTCCATTCCCACTACATAAAAACAAGACTTCCTAGCATATCTAGAAAACCATGTTTGCGCTCATGTAATACAAGTAGTTGTTCAATGTCAGCATCATTGGGTGAACGCAAGTATTGGGATGCAAATATTCGTCGCACACACTGACAAAACTCGATGAGACTTCTATTTGCCATCTGTTTTACCATGCATAAGTATTCATCACACGGATCGGCGGGTGCTCCATATGCCAGTTGGCGTATAGCAGTGGTAGACTTTTGAATAGCCGTAAAACTTTTTTTACCAGTCGTATTTTCCCTGCTCTTAAAGTAATCAGAATGATTTTCAATAGAATCATCAATACGAGAAAATAAACATCTAGACATACGAAATCTACGATAAAAGAAGCACTCATGATAGGTGGGCTCGTTAGCAAAATAATCTCTTACAAGTAGAGTATTTCCAGTAACACGTTACCGGCGCACTACTCGTCTTTCTCGCCTTGTTGAATTTTCAGGTTGTTCGGCCTCTTGGAACTCATTAATAGTTGCCTCCATCAAGACGAATTCAGCTTTTGTGAGAGAATCATCAAGCATATTTTTCAAGAACGCACGATATGATACTCTCTCATTTGTACGCCTAGACATCTTATTGGAAATAATAAAGAGGAAAAACAGAGACTTGAGGAAAAGAAGAGTAAAAGAAGAAGCAAAAAATGATATTGTTTGCTGAAGGTGGTGGTGTCTAAATGAATCCACCAATGGTCTATTTTATAATGAGAAGATGAGATGTTAAAGTTATATTTTGCAAGTGGTAAGTTGGAACCACATGAACATGTCTTTCAAAAATAATTATTTTGGTTGGCGGACATTTATTTTATTCAAATATAATGAATGAAGTTGGATAGATACATTGAACACGATAGACGAAATACAAAATGACAAATATTAAAATTAAACACATTACAAAAACATAAAAATAAATTACAATACAAATTCTTCCAAACAAAATACGAGAAACATAAAGAGAATACAAATACATTGTCAAATTTAACTAAGGCCCAATTTCTCTTTCAATTCTGCAAGAAGCCCATAGTGAGCTTCTAATTCTTCTTCTGTCATAGTTGAAGTGCCTTCCTTTAGCATTTCTCTATCGGTCTTCCACGACTCTATGTTTACCAACTTCTTTATCTCCTCCTATTGTTTCTCGTGCATACTCATAATTTGTCCAAATGCATCCAACATACATTCTGCTCTTTGATCAGTGCTACTCCCTACGCCACTTTTTGCCTTTCTCTTTGCAGCCTTCGCTGCCTTCTGGCCGATGGGGCGATGCACATATCTTTCATCGTCATCACCTCTTGTCTAGATCCAGAAGTGTGATCTTCTGTCTCTGATGTTCTATATTTCTTTCCTGCACGAATTGCTCCACCAACCCCTTGAAATTTTGGACAATTTTTCAGAATCTCCCAACAATGAAGCTACTTGAAGCCTCCTTTTCTTTTCCCTTTTTCAGTATTCCACTCTGTTAATGCATTTTGTAGCACAATAGCATCATTTTCACCACTCTTTTGGTCAGCTCGAAACCTGTTAATGGATGTAGTAAATTTAAGGCAATCTCCATGAAAAGCATAGAAGTGAAATTTCGTTGAATCCATAGATCTCTCAATCAAGTTTCTAGCATGAGCCGTTTCATTATAAAATTGGGAGATTCGTTTCCAGAAGCCTTCAGAACTTTGTTGAGCACCGACGATAGAATCACTCGAGATAGTATAAAATGTGCGACAAAGCAACATATCTTCCTCATGTGTCTACGATATTGTTGATGTTTTTTCCACGTCTTTTCGACCCATGTTCCTTATTTTCTTCTGTCTCCGTATTAAGACAAATATTGTCAAGACCTTCAACCTCTGGCCCCGTGGGAGCTCTTACGGATCTTGTGAGCCAATACCTGTTGGTATGAAATTGCCATGTTGAAAAGGCATGCCAAGTGAATTTGCCATTCCATACTGGGATGCCATTGACCACATATACTGAGATTGATTCATGTTCATCGCATTTTGTTGTTAAGAGTAGACATGATATTCTAAAGTTTGGGATATAGGAAACGAAGGAACTGGCTGATATGGAAAATTTTGAAATTGGGATTGCAATTGCATTGCAGAAAATTAACCAAGTACAGGAGGTATACTCCTACGATAACGAAAATTTACTTTAATGAAGATGGACTAACACACTCGGAAGAATTATGCATATTGAAATTAGATAAATTTGAGTTTCTATCCATTACAACTTCTACACTAAAATGGTTATGTATGTTTTAAACTTACGCAAAACTGCCATAGATTTATAGCTGGGAATTCGCATACATATGGACACTTGAAGATAACTTTGATTTCACACAAATGAAGGAGCTTATCAAACCACAAATCAAGCTACAAAATTTAGCTTTATTTTGATGTGTGACAACTCAAGGCATGCCAACATTTTGTTAAATTTTATTATTGTTTTATACTATTATTTTTTATAATATTTTTATAATTTAAAAAAATTATAAAAAAAAGTTTTATTACATATAGAAATTCTGCAACACTAAAATTTCCAATAATGAAAATTAAAATTCTAGGAAATAAATTTATAAGGATTTATTAAAATTAATAACTAAACTAATTTATTAGTACTAAATATTTCAATATTTTATAATAATAAATCAGGCGTCGGTTTAACATAATAAAAAACAAATATAGTTATATTTTAATTACAAATGAATACAATTATAATGTATGAAATATATTAAAGTATACGTTTAAAATGTTGAAAAAAATATAATTAAATAGTATAATAAAAATTAAGACTAATTGAAAGAAGAAAAAAAAATGTGGTGTCTCAAATTTTCATATTGCATCCACAACTTGATTACAATTAAAATTTCAGATAGTAAAAAAATTTAAGAAAAAATTATTACACATAAACTTTACAAGAATATTAAATATACAAAATTACATGCCAATAAAATTTAAAATTTGCATACATAATCAATATATTACTCTTAATAACCAAGTTCGTTCCATATATGTTCAACTAAGCCATGCTAAATTTAAATATCTATTATATTTATTATAATCTTGTTTATAAAATTAATCGTTTTAGAAGATGATATGTTTTTTTAGTTTTCATAAAATATAAAATTAATAACTTTAATTTTCAGTCATTAACTTATTAAATAGACATAATATATAATTAAACAAGTGTACAAATTTATAAAACAACGAAAATAAATAATCTAACTAAACAAAAAGAGATTGGGATGTAATATTTAATATTGTCATGGCCCTCTCAATTAGTGGGCCCTCTTAAAAAATAATTTTAAATTGAGATTTGGCAAGGTTTGCAAATACAACACCGGTTTGTAAACTCATACCTTAAAGTTGTCTTCTCTTATGGAAAATCTAAGGTTTGTAAACTCAAAACCTCACTCAAAAAGCTACCACTAAAGTTGCCCTAAGAGCCTTTCAGAAGCCCTGATAGGTGTCAAATCTATTTGATGACCTAATTATTAATGGAAACAACCTCCCAAAACAGTTGAGCCGCTGGTAATGTTGCTTTGAAATAACAAGAAACCATATTTTGCTGCTATCCGTCGTTTGTTATTGCAATACAACAGCTACAGCGATGCCTTATTCCCTCACAAGTCACACCCTCTGAAACAAACATGAAAAGTTCCTTTCTTTCATACTGGATTTTTACTTTCTACACAAAATATACATATGTTTATAATGAGACAAAAACAAAAACACTAAAACAAATAAAAACAAAACCAAACATAAAAGAAAGGATAAAACAGTTGCAGGCAACACAAATCAGCTAAGAAGAGGGGAAAGGAGATGAAAACTTATACGACTTGGAAAACCCAAAAATAGTTAAAACATAAAAGTCAACCAAGTTAGCAAAGACGATAATAAAAGTCCGAACCTAAATCCAAGCCCATATTCTCCCTCCTCACATGCTCCCAGCTCTACCTGGAGTAGTTTTTCCTTTTTTGAAATTGGACAAGTCAACCAAGTCCCCAAACAGCTTGTCCTCGGGCTTGGATGGCCGCATACTTGACGATGAGTACAAAGAACCTCTGAGCCCGATATCGTCCCTCATAGATAGGCCCGACATGCCTTGCTGGATGAACTGCACATTTTGCTGTGGGCCATAGCCATAGCCATAACCATATCCGTAACCGGCCATCTGGTTTCCATACATCTGCTGAGGATACGTGTAACCAGCCATCATCTGTCCTGATTGCATTGGCTGAGGATAGATGACCATGGGGTTTGGGCCTGGGCCCGACATTTGATTACTAGTGGGGAGGTGGCCGTTGTATGGCCCGATGACCTGATTGTTGGCGACAGGGAGATATGTGGCGCTCGGTGATTGGCCTGTGGGGTTTACAGCTTGCATTTGTGGAGGCTGCCTGTCGAGGCTGCTGTTATCCAGTTGGGCTTCCCATGGTGGAGGGGGAAAGGCACTGTTTTGAGTACCTACCAAATGACAGAGGGTCACATGTTAGCAACCCTTTCAAATGCAGCAAATTGTTTGGTATGATCTGGGTTTGTGAAGATTCAGATGCAATGCAAATCTTATTCACAACTGTCATAGCAACGAGAATAATGATGAAAGTTTATGCAACTTGTACATCTTTGTGATATGTACTGCTACGTGCGGATTAGTAGATCATGCTTTCAAGTGAAATGCACAAATGTGTGCATTGTGTTTGTATGTGGATGTAAATGAGTAAACATGCACATAGGGTTTTGTGAGATGCGTGGCGGAGATATAAAATAATAAAAAAGAAACATTTCAAAATGACCCAAGTACTAGGATGGATATCAAATCCACCGAAAATAAACTAGAATAGACAGAAGGATCGGGTACGGGTTTGAAATCAATCAATTTGAGGTTTTTAGCCAAAACACATTAGGGTTTGACGAGTCACCCTACAACTGAATCCCTCTTCAAATCCTTAGGGCGTGCTTGGATACAAATATATCCGCTCAAAATGAGTTTTTTTTTTTTTTTTTTTTTTTTTTGTTAACCATGGTTAATTTTGAAAAAAGTTGGTATGGTTAGTTGTTAGTCAAAATTTGAGTTTATATTAAAAGATATTTAAAATAAAATATTAAAATTGATTGGATGTAAAAGTATGAGAGAGATGATGTGAAGTGATGGTTAGTTAAAATTATGAGAGAGAATGAATAGTGAATTAAAGTTAATGTAATGTGTAAGAATGATTGATTGATATTATTTAATTATATTTATAATATTGAGAATAGTGGGATTGGGTTAGAGTTGAGTTAGATTTCGAATATGAATTGGATATGGAATAAGTTATTTTATATGCAAACACACCCTTACAATCCAAAGAACATCAAGCTAAAAATATCGCACACAAAAAGCAAAACAAAGAAAAAAATAAATATAATATATAAAAAAGTAGAGGCGCACCATAAATGGGTGAAGGAGGCTGCTGTTGCTGGGCCATCTGGCCACTCCATGCAGGACCAGAGCCTTGTGAGTAGAGTGGTTGATCCTGTTGAGCTACCATGGGCCCAGATAGAGTGCCGTTGGGGTCTAAAGAAGTCTGTGGAGACTGAAAATTCGTTTGCTGCTGGAATTGGGTAGAGGAAGGATAGGCTTGCCCAATGGGATTCATAGGCTGGCTGTTATTACTTCCTGAGAACATGTCAACAAGAGCAAGCGCATTCTGTTGTGAAACAATGGGGCTCGTCGGCTGAGGTTGGCTCACGGGGACAAGAGCCAGAGAGTTTTCCGTGGGCGAATTGAAGTCATCTCCACTCAAAAGGTCTATTTTTGGGTCGGCTTTTCCTGGAGTTGTCGGCTGACCGCTATTAGCCAGTGGAGAAGTGAGGGATAGTTGCCTCCCTAAGCTCGTGTTGGATGTTGAACTGCTAATTCATAATTATTTTCAAGACACACATAAAACACACACACCAAATGTCGCCTAGAGCAAAAATGATTGGTCGATGAAAGAAAATGTGATTGCATCATTCTCTAATCTGAGTAAACAAGATATTATCCCTTCTGAAGATTATATTCAAGCAAATAAATGGTATGTTTCCTTTTGTTATCTTTACAGTAAAATATGATGCTAATGCCACATTAAGGAAGATAAATGAAATAAGAAAGCACTTTTTTTTTTTTTCAATTTCCCAATATACCAGCTCCAAGGCTATATGCAGAGACTTCATTGAACAAACCTTAAGCACTTTGCAGTTAATAGGCACCAATTAAATATATTTATGTCAATGAGTGAATGAATGCTCAGGAGCAACATAAAACAAAGAGGGTAATCCACTGTTTAATCTATTTTATCAAACTTGATGAAAAGTAGAATGATATTTACTGTAAGTCTTGAGTGGCATCGCCTGTATCGATAAGAGGGGCATCAACAGGGACCAAAGCTTTAGAAGGTTCAGAATTTGTCTTCTCTACTACGGATTTTGGCTTCTCCAACTGGGCAGAGATAGCTCCAGAAGCAATTGACTCGTGCTTAGCCAGTAAACGTTGCAAGTCATCATTCAGTGCTAGCCCTTGGCATAATAACGATTCATCCCTACATCGGGAAGCAGGTGTCTCAAAAGTTAAAATGCAATTGTGTCTGAATCAAAATTAATGATACCAGATTGCAATACAAATAAGAACAGAATATCTCATTCAATATCTCTCCAATTGAAGGATACAGGATTGCTTAAATACTTGTGGGACAGAATATAGTTAATCTTCACATCATTACTAATTAATAAAGATGTCATTCAGAATCAAGTCAGTAAAATTGGAACACAATCATACGCGGTTGAGCTAAACTACACCTTCCAGAAATGAATCTCGCTTAACCAAGCATAGCATGACCTTTACGGAGAGACTACTCCAATTTCACATTTTCTTCCCTAAACTGTGGACTAGGACTTGAGTTTTCAAACAAATATAATAATCTTAACTACATAAGGATCACATTAGGTAAATAATAGCTGCTAATTCCCTAATAAAACACGAGCAGATGGCACAGCAATGGCAATTAACACAATTTGCCTCTGCTATATGAAGAATATCCTTGATTATTAATCAGGTAATTCTATTTTGAGGTCATTAAAGATTTGCAACAAGAATATATTCTATGCCAAACTATGCATATTTGGAACATGGACAAGTCCTAATTCTTGCAACAATAACAGGGTAGGTAAAGGCCTTACGATGTTGAGTTAACAAGGTGCACCACTCTTTGCTTGTAATTACGACACTGTTCCACTAGATCAACAATGACATCCTGCTTAAGTCCCTGCAACATATGACAAACAAGATTGGCATCCTATATCTAGTACAATCAATATTTTGCAGATTAATTTAGTGATGCTTAATTGCACTTTCAAGTATCATATACATCCATAAAGATAAGTGTGAGTTCAAGTCTTCCTTGAAACACGAAATATTCCAGTACAGCAAATTAATAGTCAATTCCATAATGCAAAACAGAGAAATGATCCACTGTTGATGCAGAATACCATTAAAGCAGAAATGACTGCTAGGCTGCTGCTAAAAGTAGTTCAGTACATATAATATACCTCTTTGTTGCTAGGATCCAATGCATTCAGCATTTCAGCAAGAACATCCATGATACCACGAGCATTTTGAAGTTCTGTCAAGCTGACATAATAAGTAGCAACCAGAAACAAGGTGTGTAAATCAGTAACAGAAAATCTCCAAATAGAAGTATAGCTATACTTATCAGGGCAAGATATCATGCACATTCAAATTTCATAGCTACCAAGCACCTTCAAATTTCATAGGTACCAAATGCAAAAGGCAACGTTCCAGTAATAATATATCACAAGAACAAAGAATTCATGCCTTCTTCACATGTAATGCACATACAGATATCAAATTCAACATAAAACTTCTTAAAAACATCATAACATTATTATTACAGGGAATCCAACACATATTTCACTCGACACTAAAACTTTCTCCTGATAATATATTTATCATTATACACAATAAAATGTGCCCACCATGACAGAAGCCACTAGTTATAACTGTCATCAGGTCATGACCCTCCCTCAGATCTCCATTCACCATATCATTGAAACACTATTTTGCAATGTGTCAGTGCGGTTTCTCTGCCCTGCATTGCTCAATAACTTAACGCAACCCAAAATCCATCGAGGCCAAAAGATTAATTCATAGCTTTCTATTTTTTCATGCATCTCTTTCCCAATAAAATGAAGCAACAGAGCGTGAAAGCAAAAATTAATCTGAAGACCCCAAACTCAGGTTTTACCACATATAGTAATATACACATCGCCAAGTGCAATTGAACTATGTATTTCTAGTAATATACACATTCGCCAAGTGAAATTAAACTATGTGACGAAGAAAAAAGGAAGTCTCCTTAATCAAGAGTAGTGCACCTTAATGTTGGAAACTCAGCTTCTGCAGAAGATTCAGCAGCATCAGGTCCAGATTCAGTATTACGAAGATTAGGTGGATAAGATGTCAATGGATGTGTTTGTGGTGGCGTGAAAACAGGTGCAGACCTCTCAGATCTCTGAGGAAAAACTGCACCAAGACGCTGAGGGAACAACCGCAAAATTACGTCATAAGCTACATTCCATATGGGCATCAAGAATATAAATTAAATAATATGAGAAAATCCTAAGATCACATACCAATAGATCCTGATATGCCACAAAATACTGGGGATATCTTGCCCTTGGTCCTCCAAAAGCTTCTTGCCAAGTATCTATTAGAATCAATATCTTCTCTTTTACTTGAAAGTCTGGCTGCAGCAACAAATTTTTGAGACACCAAAAGTGGATGCAAACAATGAAGAGAAAAATACAAATACACTACACAATAATTATATATTAAGTTACCTTCTTTCTCACAATTTTCACCATCTCATGGGGTAAATCTTTCTCAGCAACATGCATATGGACAATATCACCACAATTCTTCACAACAGTCTCCAGTAGCTATAACGTGCACAATTGTTTTCATTGACTTAGTGACTTAAAGATGTCTTAATTACAAGGAAATGCCACCTCTTCTAGAAAAACAATAATTAAAGAGGATTCAAAGAAAACAATTTTTCCAAGACATTTATGCATTCCATTTCAAATTGATTAAGTGATAAACAAGGAAAATGTGACCCTACATGATAGAGGATAATAGACGTATTAGGGGCAGATAACTCATTCTAGCACATCTTTTCATTCTTACATTCAATTTGACAACATGCTTAATGTTGCTTAAATAAGATACAAACACACCTTCTATTTTTCGCCATCGGTCTAACAAATCTATGCCAAAATATTCATGGATACTACTGCTCCACCAAGTTTGCATTTCAAAATAATAGGATAAATCAAGTAAGCCCTTCTTGAACAGACTCTATTTCATAGACAAAATCAGGTGCACCCAAATTTGAAAACAAAACTTGAATTTCATGTTTGCACACCCAAAATATGGATTACAATGACAAGTTGATAAGTTGGGAGATGACATCAACTTTTAAAATTTTGCCTAGAAAACAGTATGTCAACTTAAGTTTGTCCTAGAAAAATGATCTATCATATACAACTATTAGCACCAACAAATGTCATCTGCACAGTGCACAGTGGTGACCACAATTATAAGGATGCCCAATCTTGTGGTATATGACAGACAGCGACCGTGTTGAGAAATGAAATTAAGCTTACCGTCAAGGCAAGAAGCTGGACTTTTGGATTTTTGCTACCAAGCCGCTTCTTTATACCTCTTATAACATCTTTTGATTGTCTGATGCAATCAAAATGTGAACAACTGAGTATACCTCAAAGAGACATTACTGCTCTAAAATATAATACAAAGAGCTTCTAATAGTAGCACATTAAACTATTGAACAAGTGAGCAATGTAAGCATCCATCTAGCAAGGANAGAAAAAAAAAAAAAAAATCTGAACTGAAAGGGTACATCAGTATATCCAACGCTAAAGCAACATTAAAAAGTATATTCTAGTGATTCAGAAAATACATGGTGGCATATCTTTCAGAAAATCTGGTTCATTCATTGAACAGCAATACAGCAGTTAGCACAGAATTCCACATCATGTAAAATATCAAATTGACCGAGATACAAAAAATAGAAGAAGTTTAATCAAATTTGCAAAATTAAACCTCAAAGCAGTAGTTCGACTAAAAGTGGTAGTTCGAAGTCTCAGGTACAAAACAATTCACATATGGATCAGCTCCCGCTGAAATTCTCAAGTTTAACATAAAAGTAAAATAATGCTCGCATATAAACAGCTAGATGGTCACTCAATTAATTCCATAAACAAAAAATTCATGTTTCCATCCTAATTATGAAGAATAAAAGAAGCAATTATAAATCCATAAATACACACCATCGTATAACAACCAAAAGGACTTCAAAATAACAAAAACTAAAAAAAGGACGGAAGAAGGGCCGTTGGAAGGAAAGTTCAGGCAACTGCTCATCTCTTTCCATTCACTTCTGCAACAAGTACACCAACTAAACAACACAAGTGCGAAAGAAAAAGAAATAACAAGAGGGGAAATGATTACGCAGGATCACGGTTGCACATATCACAGATCTCGATATTCATAGCCCAATCTGGACCGATAAGCATATCGCTCGTGGCCCTTTCCACAGAAGAACTAACCATCTCTCCGAACCTCAGTCCACAAAAAAGAACCCTCGCCGGAGACAAATCGGGAACAACAGGCAACTGCTAGGAGGTCCACGCCTCGACGCCGGCGTAAATCTTTTCAAAAATTACGATAAAGAACCACCCAAGAACTGGAATTTGACAATAGAGAAAATCCAGGAGGATCTGATCCCTGGTTTCCCAATCAATTCTGTTGAGATTTTTACTGAATCGGGAAAAAGGAGAAAAGTGTGTATTGGGATGAAATAATTGAATGTGGCAAGGACCAATAGCAGTGAGACGCGTGGGCTTTAGATCGTCGTCGTTCCTCGGTTCTGTGTTGGTGACTACGCCGCCGACAATGAGAATCGGACGGTGGAACTTGTTTTGAGCCAAACAGTGTTTTTGTGGGTGTTTGGCGGACCACGTCAGCATTCCGGAAAGGAAGTTTTTTTTCAATTACTAGTGTGTATATAATATAATATAATAGACGTAGTAAAGAAAAACTTTTTCAATCATAGTATATATTTAATGGTCAATTATTTACATAATTAATTGAACATAGATAGATTGGGGGCCCTCCACGGCATACCAGCCAACTGCCAAGGTGTCAAACTAGTAAATAAAATAAATAAACAAATAAAATGATGGGAAATTTGGTAATTACGCAGAGAACTTGGAGTATAGATGCAATTCTAATCATCAATCTCAAAGGGTCGAATCTAATAATTAAAGGAAAATGGAAGGGCAGACGAAATGAAAGTGATAACGATGAATTCCAAGCTGCAAGCAAGCTAAAATCTCCACACCATTCTACCCAAACCCAAGCTCAAGCAAAAGATAGAACAGAACAAAAGTCAGCTGTTATGTATCATTTATGAAACACCCTACTTGAAAAATGGCGATAATAGGTGACGCCTTGCGGCAGGCGTTCATGCCGAAGCACGAGTACGAGAGCCTCCGCGAAGAGGAGAAGGCATGGCACAAGCTCCACAAGCCGCTGATTTCTCTCTTGCTAACCCTAATCTCGCTCGCCGTTTTGATATCCACTGTGATTAGCTTGAAGATAGTTTTTCCGGATGACAATTTGCGGCGCCCCTTCTGCCGCGATCTGAGGATTCAGCCTCTGTCGATCAATTTCACCGCCGCGGCCGCCGGAGAGGCGGATCGCCTGCCTGGAGCGTTTGTTTTGACGGATCAGGAGACGGTTGATTATTACTGGATGGTGGTTTTCGTTCCCTCCGCCATGGTTTTCGCAGCTTCTGTGGTCTACTTGATTGCAGGTCAGGAAATGTGATTCTAGAGTGATCTCGCTGCTAATTGTTAGTATAATTAAAATGTTGAGTTTCTCCAGTTATTTAGTGTACTGTTCACTCTCATTTGCATTCTCGCTGGTTGAAGTGGTTATGCTTTAGCTGCTCAGGCTGATTGTGCTGGTAATTTTAACTGTGTCAAGATGGATTTGTTATTGGCAAATTAAAGCAACCTGTTCTTTATTCGGTCCTTTCGAACAAAGATTAGCATTTGTATCGTAGCCTGTTCTTCTTCAGTCTTCTTTCCCTGAAATGCTTTTTTCATGTGACTGGAAGAAAATATGAATCACATTGAGCACGATGGAAGTGAAGAGTGCATTGGTTTCATTTTCGTTGTTAAGACAGTATTTAGTGTTTGCCTTTAAAAATTTACCTTTGCTGGGAATATGTTCTTGTTGATTTTGTTGTAATCATGATTGTGTATTCTCCATTAACACATTTTAGATATTGACTCTCGTACAGGGATTACAGTTGCTTATACTGCCCCTGCAAGACATGGATGCTTGAAGGTTGTTGAGAACAATTACTGTGCTTCAAGAAGAGGTATATTATACCTGTTTTTGCATTTCATATATCAGTTTCTTCCAAAAGAAAGCCAAACTTAGTTCCTGATGTGTTTCTGTCACCAAATATAAATAGACACGATTCTGTGTGTGTGTGGCATTATTTGTGAAATATAATATAGGATAAAAGAAATGCTCATTGCCTACACTGAAGACAATCTGGGAAAGTTACTTCAACTAATGGTAGGTAATCTTGTGTTTCATATCAATATGTTGGTCTACAGTCCTCTGGCAATAAGCTGAATTACACCTGGCCATATTGTAATAGATGGAACTGGACCTGCGCTAGGATTTTTAATATTTGTTGGCCTGTGGTAACATAATGGGTTTGCATGAAATAGCACAAATTTGAATCTTGACATTTGACGTGCCAATAAATAGGCATGTGTGATAGCCTTAAGTTGATGTGCAAAAAGACAATTAATCGATTAGTAGAGTCGCATGGCCGTTATATTTTTTACTGTTTCTTCGGCTGAGACTGATTTGTGGGTTGCATTCATTTACTTCCCATCTTTTAGGCTCTGTGCAAGTGTTGTCATTTGCTCACGTGTCGTCAATGCGTGCGTACTTTCTCTTTTCACCATTTTTTGTTTTGTTTGTGTATGCAACCTTTCATTCCTATTCTGTCGTGCTTTCTGATATTTCCATGATTGATAAAATCAGAAAAGTAAATACGACCCAATTTTCTTTTCCTATTATCATCTTCATAGGTGGGGTCCGCTGTCTATCCATACTGAATGTGGTGTTCGCCATCACGTTTGGTCTCCTTGCCCTATTCCTGGGCTCGACTCTCCTCACCCTCGGCAGCAGCTGCTCGGTGCCCCTTTTCTGGTGCTACGAGATCTCGTCATGGAGCATGGTCATCCTTCACGGTGGTACCGCCTTCTTCCTCAGAAGAAAAGCGGCTTCGGTGCTCGACGAGGGTGACTTTTCCGGAAGGAATGTCGGGCTCGAGATGCTTGAGTCGGGCCCTGTGGAGGTTACCCCGGAAATCGAGAGGCGTGTGGACGAGGGTTTCAAGTCTTGGATGGGCCCGTCTTTCCTGTCGTCAGACGAGGAGGAGGACGAGCCTGACGACTACTTGGAAGTGCCGAATGTGTCGCACTTCAACTCCACACGTCAGAGGGTGTGAGAGCTCTCGATTGGTTTTCTGGGATGATGAGCTGGCGTGAGGGGATTTGATGCAAGATTTGACTTGACCAGCAAAACTTGTGTATACTGTTAAAGGAACGGTTTTTGTCACGGGCTGGGAAAAATTGGCTGCACCTCGCAAAGAGCAATTCTCTACTTTGGTATACTTGTGATAAATCACGGAAAGGTTTGGAGGTGTGATGCCTCTCAAAATATTCATTTTTTTTTTTTTTTTAGAATATATGGTTAGGATTTTGGGTCTAGTATCTGTTGTAGACTGCAATGTGCAAAGAAGGACGAAAGTGGCTCTTGCAAGTGGCAACGTTTTTTAGGTGAATGTATGAAGGAATTGTTGAGCTGGTAAAAAATTGTGGAGAGGTGAATGTATGAGGTGGCGTGTGTTTTGTGATTTCTAGCGAGAGAATAAGACCTTCGCATGGTTTATATATAAACTATAACAGGGCTACAACAAGGATTTTATGGAGCATAGGAATATGTCTATCAAATAAATATTGGATCTTAACGAAGTTAGGAATGTGGGAGTCAAGAAATATTTAAGTTGTGGTTCACTTTATTTTTTGGACCATTAATAATAAATCATTCTACTAAAGATTTATCATTGCACAACCATTTCTTTACTCATATTATTCGGGTTCCACTATTTTCGTTTTACCTCTCTGTGTTTAAAATATTGACACTCGTTAACTGATTCAAATATTAAGAATTTAATTAATTAATTACATTCTTGATTTTTCAGAACTACTAATGACACAGTAAATGCCCTTAAAATTATATAAATAGTTTCTATTATAATTTTAATATTTTTCAGCTAATTATTTGTAATGATATCTCATGATTATAAAAATTACATTGTCCATTACACTGATGGCTCATCCAGAGCCCGACAGTCCACTAAATTGTGATTCTGGTATAGTTAGTAACTTCTTTTCTGAAATAATTTCCCAGAACCTAATGAAATTTTCACAATTACTCGAAAAAAAT